GTAAGAATATCGTAAGGCCTTTATAGATAACTAAAAGATTAGTTATAGATAAGATAAATTAGATAGCCGTATAGACTAAAGATAGCGGGAAAGATATATATTAGTAATATTATTAGTGACGATACTATTATAATAGAAGAAGTTGGAAGTGATGGATAGAGTTATGATTAGCTGAGGCGTCGACCCTAGACTATGGTTCTTCTTATATAGTTCTGAGGGACTATCTTTCATAGACAACACAAGTAACTAAGTTACCAATAGAGAGAACTTCCTCTAGTTAAGCGTACGCGTTGAGAAGAGACTATATTCACCGCCGTACGAGTTAATGCCCATGGCTAGTAGCCTCGCCCTAGTTCACTATTATTAGAAGATTAAGTCTAATACGAAATTAGTTCGGAGAGATAATCTAAAACGTAAAATATCGAGGTTTTACTATAAAGACGCCGAAATATATATACTTCTACTAGAGATAGATATAAGTATCTAGTTCTTATCTTTTTATTAATCTTTCTTTCGATTACGATTCTACGACTTAATTCTTCGTTAATTATACCATTTCGAATTATTCTAGACTCTCTCGACTCGTTCTTTACTCTTAAAATTATCTTTCTAAGTAAGATTCTAAAAGCGTAAGCTTAGAAATCTTTATATAACTTTATTATTAAGTTTAGTATTTCGACGACGATAGTTCGGACCGAATTATCTTTTTCTTTTCTTTCTTTCTTCTCGGGTTCCTAGCTTAATAATTCACTACGCTATTAAGATATTCGGAAATTCTAGGCTACTTTTATCGAGACTTCTAATAATTTATCTAAATTCTACTTCTATAGTCGCTGTTAATAGAGATACTAGATATTAAGTATTTAATATCGAAATCGTTAAAAATTAGTCTATTCTCACTATTAAATATCTAGACTATATTAGAGAAGTTACGCTCGAAGAAGCTATAGCTACTATGAATTAGAATAACGCGAATCGAGTTAAAGACTTCTATGGCTCTCTTAAATTAAAATATCGATAAATGGACGAGATTCGCGACTTCATAACTTAACGAGTCTACGATCTCACTAAAGACCTTCTAAATATTCGTGTAGAGTTTTAAAAATACTCTAGTCTATACGCTAAAAAGAAAGAGTTTAATAATAGACGAAATCGTCGCGTAGAGATACGTAATAAGCTACTCTCTAAATACGGCCGAATAAATAATATAAGTCTCTTTAATTATAAGTATAGAGAGAGAGACGTTCTTATTCCGCGCGGAGAATTCGTAAAGCTTTCTACTTAGACGTTAGTAGAATTCTTTAATGAATTAATTATTCTATATAGAGAGAATATAACTACACTCTTAGACTAGTATTAATTCGCTCGGAAACATTTACTTTAGTATAACGTAACCTCTCTTCGGCTACTATAAGTCGTCTCGTATAAAATAATAACTCGTCTAGTTCGAATTCAATAGAATCGACACTATAATGCTTTACCGTATCTAGTTACGGAGGATATTTAGATCGTCCTCGACGATAAAATATTTAACGATAATGAGCGAATCGCTAAGCGTAATCGTCCCGAGTAGTTAGAGATACTTAGTCGATACGGATTTATAGAAGCGGCTAGGCTATACTAAGTAGACGTTCTTTCTATAAACTATAATAATCTAATTACATTCGAAGGAAAATCTAGGCTAATAGTATTACTTATTACGTAAGATTTAATTACTAAAAACATTTTAGACTCGGAAGTTCACCGACTCGTTACTCATTCTAGTACTAATAATCTTTCTATATCTCGAACTACGAATTTCGCCGGCCTTATCGATTCTTCTAATACTTCCGTAAGACGTCCGAATACGCGAACTACTTAAGGCGATCGAACTTCTATTTCTACGGCCCCTACTACGTCTACTTCTATTACTCTAATTTCTATACGATTATAGTAAAGCGCCCTTCCGATACGACTTAGTTTAACGAATGTAGAACGAGAAAATTTAATATAGCTTACGAAATCGGAAGAAGAACGCTCTATTATTAGGAGTCGCGAATAAATAAATTAAATGAGAAATAATTCGATTAATATCTTAGGCGTTATAAAGAGACCGCGACTATAGACGGTGACCTCTAGTCTAGGCTTCGTAGCTCTAAGTCCCGACTATAATCTAAGTGTAAAGAAGCCGAGAATTTTAGAACTCTTCTACGAAATCGAGATTAGATAGTAACTTATAAACTAAGGAATACGTATTACTAGTTCTTCTAAAGTCGTCTCATCACTATACTTCCTCGGAAGAGATACGTTCGATAACTTATCGAATTCGATTCTAAATTCTAGGAGCTCTATCGTATTCGCGTAATTAATAATTTAAAAGTATATAAGATAGACGAACTACGGAAGAAATGTACCCTTAGTTAGCCGTGAAGATATACAATGATACTACGAATTCGGAGCTAAAAAGATGATTAACGTATTGAGTTTACTTACTAGATATATATCTAGACGATATATATCCGTCTATCTATATATAGCCGAGAAAGGAATCGCCTTACATCTAGAAGGATTAAAAAGAATCGCTACGCCTTATAAAGATTCTATAAAGAATCTCGAATAATTAATAAAGTAGTGGGAAGAAAGGTTCGAAACGATAAATTATTAAGTTCTATCTAGCTATTTTAATTATAAAGCTATCGATATCTCGAGTAGTGCTCTTCGGAGCGCTCTACTAGATCCTAGATATAACGGATAAGTTAATTAGTCTTTCATCGATGCGAGAATTATAGTAAGTCGGAAAGAATTATATATAAGATATATCATTATCTTAGGCGCCGCGTTCCTTTTCTAGATTAACTAATGTAGGAACGTAAACGCATCGGTGGAATTTAAAGCCTAGGGAAACGTCGACGATGATATAAGACGACTCATTATCTTTAACGACGACTTAATAGATAAAGAGCACTATTAGCTAATCTTTATAGTCGATAAGATAACGTAGTCGTACTCGGTTATTAATTCGATATAAGGTAGATTAGATACGACTAAGATAATACTCGATTTCTTCGTTTAATGATTAAAGGATAGCGTTTTTAGTATTTCACTCCGGGAAATACGTCTTAAATCTAATCTTTAGTAGAACACTAGTAGTTATAGGCTCTAAGTGATTAAGAATTCTCTAGCGATTATTAATGCGGAAACTTACGAGACGGCTCGCTTATAAATAATCTTATCTAATACTTAAGTTAATATCGAGAATCGTTTCACTATCGCTCTGGAGATCTATAAGATGATTATACGTGAACTAAAGCGCAGTGGAGATTTAGGGGCGTTGAAGGGCTCGAGTTCGAAGGGGTTAGATGGGAGATAATTAAATAACTTCGTAGAGCGTTTAAAGGATATAAAGAAGAATTAATGTTTCCGAGAAGGATAGGCGAAGATTATAGTTAAGTCTTGAGCGAGGTCGTTAAGGAAGCGAGCGATAATGGGAGAGATGTAATGGGAGAAGTTAGAAGTGGTGAATAGAGTTATGATTGGCTGGGGCGCCGACCCTAGACTATGGTTCTTCTTATATAGTTCTGGGGGACTATCTTTCATAGACAACATAAGCAACTAAGTTACTAACAGAGAGGACTTCCCCTAGTGGAGTGTGCGCGTTGAGAAGAGACCATACCCACCGCCGTACGAGTTGATGCCCATGGCTAGTAGCCTCGCCCCAGTTCACCATGTTTCCCTCTCCGCCTCAATCATCCCTATTTACCTAGCAGCCAGCGGGCCATCCAGCCCCAAAAATTCCATGCCCACAATCACTGCCCATTAATCGAGCGGAATCGAATTAAATTCCACCTTCAATGTCAAGTCGTCGCAACCGGGATTATCACGGCACACGCGCCGGGAATCTGCGAAGTCTGCGTGGCCGATATTTGTTTTGTTTTGTTCTGTGATGTTTTCCACGGTAGAGCCTAAATCATCAGACCACACCACACACAACGCACCACAACAATGTTTGGAGCGTGCTTGCGATCTGCACCTGTGTGGTAGTGACAGTTAGGGTTGCCTACTGTATGTCTGCTTCGGCCTGCGCGCTCTTTGAACTAGTCCAGCTTCGGTATTGTGCAGTGTTAGGTGGGTTGTGTTGTTTTCAACAGTGTTCCATGTGCTTTCTCATACCGATTCCCATTCTCTCGCGGGGATATGGATACGACCATGCCGATGACAATGGACGGTCGTGACCATGGCGATGGCGATTGAACGATTGCAACCTTGCTGGCTGGATGGGATGCAAGGTTCAGGGCGAGTAGCACCCCGCCGTTGTTGTCACTGCTGGTGTGGGATCTGTGCACTCATCGTCTATTGCTTGTCTGTCTGTCTGTCGAGGTGATGGATCTCGCATGCTGCACGCCAAACTGCCACCCTCGCTCGAAGCGTGACATCGGCGGACGATGGCAGGAGGAGCAGTATGATCAGGATATCCTCCCCATGCTATCGACGCTGTTCTGTTCTGGCTGCGGGTAAAATGGCTTTTTACTCAATATAAAGACAGACCAAATTCTTATCATTGCCCTTACTCCTAGCTTTAGCTTTGCTCTATTTTGCTTTTCTCTTGGGATTTGTTATCCTTTCCTCGGATCTTCAAATGCCTTGGATGGGTCGATTGGCATGGTACGCAGTGTGGCTCGCCATTTGGAGAGTGCGGGTAGGTGCATACGCAGAAAAGTAGGCAAGCTATACGACGAAGATCAGCGTGCAAGGCCAAGGGGGGAAGGGTTGCAGGAAGAAAGGATCACAGGAGAGGGAGAGAGAAGCAGTGCAATGTTTGGTAGGAGTGCGATGGGTGCAGGCCGCAAACTGCAGCGCAGTTGGCGCGGGTGGTTCACGTGACACTTTTTGATCGCATGACACCGCGTTCTCAGCGCAGTCCCCCGCGAAATCACTTACTTTCATAAAAGCTCAGCCACCACCTCTCGGTCTGCCATCCCTCTCGGCCGTTGAGACAGTCTTCAACTTGCTAACCTGACTTCATGCTACAGAGTCTCCTAACTCTTGCACTCCCCGTCTTGTCGACCACAGCCGCGACGGTGTTTCTCCCTCCCACGATCTTCTGCGAAATGGAGTGGAGGAACCGTATGGAGACAACGCATGACAAGATGTATATACAAGTGCCGTCTCGGAAGCGCCTCGAAGAAACGCCGGCCGCGAAAGCGCCAGCCCGCCAGCGGAAGCCCGTCTGCAGCAAGCGAAAGAGACAGGATGAGATCGCCGACCCATTGATGCCGGGAGTTTACCTCTTGGACATGTCAGAGGAGATGCCGCAGAAGAAAGCCCGCAGAGATGGCGACGAGGCCAGCATGTTGTCAGACACGTTGGAGAGCCCCGACTTCTCCAACGCGCCTCTCACCAACTTCGATACATGCAGTGACATTCAAGCCAGCAGTGGCAGCTCAGATTGCGGTGAGAGCTCCGAAATTTTCTCTGCAGGCCCTCTCTCAGACACTGTTACAACACCAAATTCGCCGGCTTTCTTGGACTTTGACTCTGACAGCACGCTCGTCGACCCTGCATTGCTAGCCGGCGCAGAAGAGGACCGTCCCCGAGGCTCAGAGACTTCTGATGACGTTGATGAGACAGGATGGGACTTCATGACGGGGGTAGAGACGAGTGCATACACACCAATGAACGAATTAGACTTCATGGGCAATGGGGAATAGGTATACGATGGCAAGAGGAGAAGTGAAATGGCTTGAACGACTATAAATTTAACTAACAGCATCAGTGGAGTCGGTGGATAACCCCTTCTGCAGCGGCAGCCTTATGTGGGTCATTTGACGATTTTTGGCCTCAACCTTCTCTCTTCCATCGATTTGATTTTGTTCGGTCCTTTGCCAAGGTATCAGGTTTCTCAAAGCCGCATTTGAGGCGTGAAAATTGGGCGAGATGTTCGCACTTCAACCCAATTATGCTCCTACTTAATTTCCAGCGGTGGGGATTGGGGTTATTCCTCTATCTCTGACATCCTATAAGGCCATACCAAGCTGCTAAGACCGGCCAAGCAGGAAAGTTTTATAGGCGCACAAGTAGCGCACAGGTAGCTTCATCAGCTGCGCACCGCATTCAGACCCGCTTTACGTTAAACGCAATCAAGATTTACCAAGTCCAGTCTAATTAATCCCACTCAGCCCATCTCCGCCAGCATGGATAAGATGAGAATCTCATCCGTCCTCAACGGCACAAACGACTCGGGTGAACCCGAGCAAAACGACGACACCTCAGCCACCACCTGAGACGCTAGACGCTTCACCAACTGCGCAAACTGCGCCTCGTTGTTCCTGCAGTTCTGTGACAGAATGGCGACGGAGTAGGAGGTTTCAGGAATGATCTTGTGGTTACAGGCCAATGTATATATAAACAGGCAGAGTCTCTCTGAGTAGCCAGGGGGACAGGACACAATCAACCAGATAGGTCCACAACTCAACCTCTCGTTCAACAGCAGGGTTACTTTATCTGGTACCACAGGGTGGATCTGCAGATGGGGTGACACGAAGTCGTCGACGCATTCAATAACTATTTCGGCCAACAGCGGGACAAGAACGGCCTCCAAACGAAGTTCTACCAGATTTTGAGCCTCGAGGAGGTGGACAGAGTCCGAATACAAGCAAGAGAGCAGGACATCAAAGCCTTCTCGGACCACACACAGCACAGATTCGGGTGGATGCGTTGACAGCCTCGCCTTGCACCAGGACCGAAACCGGAAACACCAAAAGACAAAGTGAAACAAGCCACCAGACCAGGCGAAACATATCTACAAAACACCTCAAACAGTGAGATCATCTAGATGGGGACCAGTCCTGGGATATTGTACACTATTGTAACAATGAGAACTGTAACTATAATATTTTGTTCATCCTTAGAGACATCTATCTCTGCCATTTCAGCCATTCCTTCCTGTTTATATCGACATTTGGGCATTTGTGCAAAAGGCCATTTCTACGTCGTCCTGCTCAGACGGCATAATGTAAATGGCGCGGTTGGTGTTGGCGAGATGCCCTACTTTGCGCTGTCAATCAAGCTGGCAACCGCTAACTGGGTCGCAATCTCACCACCCTGATGTTTGTTTCGCAGCACATTTTGCCCTCTGCCCAATCTGTTTGTGCTGACGGAAACGTCCTCGTAAGTCACGAAACGCGCAGGCCGCCGTCCATTCCCGGCTAGCAGCGAAATTATTGCTGCCAGGAGGGAGTCTCTCGTCCCGCTCCCTCGAATGGCCAACATATCACACGCCTACGTCCACCAAGATCACTGCGACCGACTTCGCTCTGCCAACAACGAGAAGGCATCAGCTCCAGGGCCCTCAGTTGAGAGAAGAACCCCGACGGAAGCAACGCAGTAGGTTTTTGGAGGTTGAAGGCATTGTGGCGGAGTTGGCTTCGCAGGTTGGGAATAAAATTCAGGAGATGGTTACCATTGTCTCCGTAGATGGTGGAGGTCAAACGAAAGGATTCCGAGCAGATGGACTTGACGAGATTCTGAATGCACGGGGCCAGCACGGTCATTCCAAAACTGTCGAGAAGTTGTTAGAGAAACTCAAGCATCTCCGCAAGGAGGCGGATCAGTAGGAGAAAGATCAAGGGAAAGCTCCGAAGGTCAGTTGTGGGTGGTGATGATATTTTGCATTCGTGTGAGCAGATGATCCCTTCAGTTTTATTGCGAGAGAAAAACCGATCGCGAGGAGAGCGGGGCATACACCATTTGATTGTGAACTATCTTGTGGGGAGCAGAGGGATGCGAGCATCTGCAGTGATAGCTGCCCTTGCGGGTAAGCCGCTGGAACGTTGGTCCTGTCGCGGAAGCTGATGAGCACTCAACAAGGCAGTCGCCTATCCGGAGCTGCCGAGACTCGGCGAGAATGGACTGCTGACTGAATGGTAATGCTTACCGGTCGAGACGAGACTGGTATCGCGAGTCATATATTTGACTCGGACGAAAAGGGAGACAGAACAATCACAATTCTAAGGATCCTTTCTTGTGATCTTCGACCAAGAAACCCAGCATCGGACAATACTTAAAGAAGATGCTGAAGAGTATACGCCATTCCAAGGCCCGAGAGGATACCGTCTTTATTAGGTGCGAAGAGAAAATTAGCTTCACGGCTCAGGATGGTGTGGCTGGTTGAACATCAAAGATGTCGTTCACCCGGTACACAACAGCTCGCATGGCCCATATGTGGACATCTGTTTCATCTCTGTCAACCAGGACTTGAGATTCTCTTGCACAAGGGAGATCTTTTCTGAACCGCCATTCTCGCCAGCTCGGTCCAGCATTAACGCCTCAATTCCTCTTTGTTGTTGTCGACTCCGGCAGTAGGATCAGTGCGAGATGGATCAGTAATTGCAGCCGTGGAAGTCAACTCATCCGCCTCGTGTTCTGCGTCATCCTATTTCCCAATCCAATTGTCCAGATCATTAGTAATGCCTCTCAGTCGTTCAATCACTGTTGCCATATGGTTGGGAGAAGGTTCAGGTTGACGAGAGTTCAGGAATCTGATTTGAGAACAAGACATTTTACCCAGGTCACCAGAGTCAGTACGCTCTTTCAGCTGGAGGTAACCAATATGCTGCAGGAGCTCGACATCCGTCCCTTTTTGGCTTGAGAGGCACGTGCGAGGCAATCCACCATCTTGCCATCGTGCTGTGGAGTGAGTGTTTGCTCCTTGTCGTCCTGTACTGAGGCGCCCCTCCTCTTTGCTGTCGGCCAACATGTCGGAGGGGGGCAAAACATTCAAGGTGAATCAGTTAGATGAAAGTGACGCGGCGGCAGCACTGTTGTCTTTAGAACCTAGAGACTAGAGCTTGGCCGGGAGTGACGCAGTCGAACTCAGGACTCGGGAGCACAGGGACTTTCGTAAGGACGGAGGCATTGCGGGACGCACCGCGTGCTGGAGTTGGACGATGCAGAGCAGGTTGTACCAGTGTGGCCACCCACTGTCTGGGACTGCCGAGACTCGAAGTGTGTGGAACTGGGAATGAGAAGAATCTTTCCAGGTGTAAAAAGCTCTGAGTTAGGTCAGACTGCCAGCTCTTTGCCGTAAATGCCATCGTCGAAAGTTGTTATGCTATGAGGCAATCAAAAAGAGGTACTGAGGCGGAAACTCGCTTATTTATACATTTCAGGCGAACGGCCTGTGCGGGTGGAGCGGAGTCGTCAGGACCAAAATCACTCGTTCCAAGATGCAACGTCTTTGGAGACGGGGCGAAGACAACGGACCTTAAATAGAAGATGGATGGCCCTGAATCGGTTTGAGGTACCCATAGATGAAAGGCCGCTCCAGTTCCATCTCCTTTTTGCCCCCATTTCCCTCTTGACGTCTCAGGTTGAAGCGGCGAGCCTCAGCCCCATGCTCAGGGTCAGAGAAGGAAATAGAAAACACCCCAGCGTACATTCCGACCTTGAATGGCCTGTTCCCTACCTCATCCAACAGGCCTTGCGAGCCAAAGTGAGAGTATCGCGCCAGGGAAGGGAGGGGACAATACGGCCTCAAAAAGGATCCCAGGGGTGGCTTATGGGGCAATAAAGGAAAAGGACAAAGTATGAAGGATGCCGCTGCCTGCACCCACCGTGGATCTCGGTTCACACGAAGGTGCTGCTTATTCATGGGTCGCCCGACGGGGAGAGACATTGCTGCGCTCCTAGGATGACTTCTTCCTGGGTTCAGAAGCTGGTTCGAGGCCTTTCGACTGGCTTGCACTTCAATCATGCCACCATGGCCAAAAAGGCAGTGGCATAACTGCCGAGGCAGGGAAGCTGCTCGCCTGCTTGCCTGCCTACTTCTGACATCCTGATATCTGTCCCCGTCTCATTAAGTACGCCATGCATCCATTGTATCCATCTTGAATAGCCACACGCAAACAGCTACGCGTGGACAAGCACGACTTCGGGTTAGACGGACTCGCTCGAGGGAACTTCGACGGACAAGGAGACGAGACGAGATAAGATTGAACAAAACGAAGAATTGTGTGCTATCTGGTGCCACTAATAGGCGAGTAGATTGTAAGCGCAAAGCCCGAAAAGATTGGTTGTTTGGTTGTCTCCAATTGGCGAGCTTTGCAGGCTTCTTATATATACACTTGGGCCGGTTTGTGAGCGCCGTGACGTGATGCCTTTGCTGGCTTTCACGGTCCCCTCTCGACACATGGCAGCAGAAGTGCCTCTGCCACACATGCCCCCTTTCAGACAATTGGCAACCTGGCCTTCGGCACCCTTTGGCAAATCGTGTTTGCTTACCATATTTGCACCTGTGTCCCGCCGTCGGAACCCCCCCCCCCCCCTTCCCCTGGAGTGGAAAAAAACTAAAAAAAAAAACCCGCAATGAAAGAAAAAGAAAGCAAACGTCCCCGGGTGGGATCGAACCACCAATCTTTTGATTAACAGTCAAACGCCTATGAAATGTTAGCCTCGTCAATACCATAGTCAGTGTTACGGAAACTCACGTTAACCATTGCGCCACGGAGACTATTTGGCTGATTCTTGAGCGCATTTTCGTGAGACAAAAATATGAAGTTGGATGGGCTCCACAGCTGCGCCGAGCTTTTCCTTGGCATTCGGCTGGATTGTCCACGGCCCAGTTTGATTCATTCGCGAATCGAAGGCGACAGCTCATTTACACAAAGTACGGAGCATTTTATTTGCCCTTGATACTAGTGGGCCTCCGCCATTCATCCCATACCGTCAACTAAATTTGATGCTACAAATATCGCTCGAGATAGCAATCCTCATTGGCCACATTTTGAGCTCAAGTTTACTTCATTAGCCAGACTGTGGAAAGAGACCACCTGTACGATCAGGGCCGGCAATATGAATCTTCCCGAGTTTGGCAGCGTCATGGTATTTCATCCTCATAGCGGATGGCACTCCTCCACATCTCCCACACGCACTATACCCTCCCCTATCTCGATGAACGTCCGGAATTATACCTTGAAGAGATGGTAGCATATCTGCAGGAGAAATTGGATTGACCGGCTCACAATTCAGCATCGGCCGGACATTGTTGAGCCCGGTGGTCAACCACGAAGCCTCGCCTTCACGCTTGGACAACCGAGAGTCCAGCGCAGCGTGGCCCCACAAGCTTCGGCCAGAGGAAAGGGGACATCCTTCCACAAGACGTTGGACGATCTGTTGCGGTGGATTGCGAGTGGGTTCGTCTATATCCTCGTGGACGTGACGAATGCCAAGGGCGCAATGAGAGGATGTATTGTGCCTTCACACCTCTTGTCCCTCCGCTCAGTTTCTGCTGTTACACTTCTTCTGCTCCCCCTTAATCGCTCGGCGACGGCATGAAAGGCGGTGCGAAACTCCCCGAGGATGAAGTGGATATCATCGGAACCAAGAAGAGCTGAGACGACAGCGTTGGATTGAGGTCGGAGCGAAAAAACACCACAACACAATGCGGTTCCACAAAATCGAGTGAGAAATTGGAAACGACATATTAAGCTTGCAGATCCTCATTATCTAGCTGAGGGCTCATTGCCCAAACATCACCGCTTCAGAAATGAGAGAACCCGAGGGGTTCCGGAGAGTACTCATCACACTCCATGGTACCATGGCATTTATGGATTTATGGTCACGTATAGAGGCATTTGCGGAGTGACCCCGCACGAGGTACTCCGCAAGGTCAGTAGTGATGACTTCATTCGCAGAATTCATATTATGCTTGCTCCCGTAACAATCGAGTATCTCCCGCAAATGGTTGCGCCGTGATAGACCTCGCGTTGCCTGGTTTATGCCCCCCCGCGTACCCGAGTCAAAGGATGGATATACTCAGACACCGTTTTCGAGTGCCGTAGAGAATGGGTGCGATGTTGCGGTGAATCCAGCTAACTTTTACCAGGCAGCGCCAGCCTCCGCCAGAGCTCTCAGCAAGCACAAGACACACTGCATCTCCAATAGCGACACACACAAGCACTGCCTTCAGGCTCCCAGGGTCGCGATCAGAGCCATCAAATGCCCCTGTTATCTCTCCGATATGCCAGCCTGCCAGCCAGCCTGCGCCTTGATGCGCTTTTCAGCCTCGCACACTCTCTCTAAATGAATCGTTACTGACGAAGTGAGCTTCATCTCCATCTTCTCACAAGCCTCCCGATCAAGCCTCCTCGATTCTGTATTGCGGTGGACAGTGGTGGCACCGGACGGGTGGCGGCTATCGGCTATCCACCCTCCGCTGTGGAATGGAGGACATTGAGACAGTCAGTATGAACAGAGGGAGGTTGGAACGCTAGGCCTAGGGAAGGATCAACCAAAGCCACTGTATCCACCAAGGCTCAAGATAAAGAGGCGACCAGGGCTCCCCGCCCCGCCCCCAAGCGATTCTGTGGCAGTGGGCTCGAAATACGCGGCTGGACCAAATGACAACGACGACCTGCGGACTACCACCGAACCAAAGGGATCAATAATGGCGGCAAAAAGAAAGAGAAGAAATTAGCCAAGGACAAGTCAAAGGCAAAGAACGGGGGTGCAGAACTTTAGCAAAATTTGGATGATCGGTTTGATCATGGTGCTGAAGAGACTAGATATATAATGTATTCTCGAAGAATCGGGGATTATTACAAGCTCATCAACCTTCTCTCCTTTTCCTTTGTGTTCTAGTTTCCTGTGTTCTAGTTTCCTTGCATATAAGAAGTGTAGATTGCACCGTAACTCGTAATCAGAATGGTTCTCCTGGCACATGCCGCCCCGTGCTGGCCTCCTCATCTTTGTCTATAACTCCACCTTCTTCGGCACCCCCTCCTTTTCTCGGGCGGGGTCATCACTAGAGAAAAGACCTTCGGAAGATGGCGAGTCTCTTGAGGTGGAATGAGTCGCGAGACACTTAACGCTCCACTCTGAATCTTTCATCTTCGCCGTTTCCTCGAAGAGCTAGTTGTTGCTGGCGCGGTCTGCTGTCCCGAGGGAAGTGGGCGTATAAGTTTGTTTGGGTATTTGGCTTCGTAGAGCACCTGCAGTCCGCAGAGAGCGCAGAATTCAATGTTCTCCGGGAAAAGTGGCTCGTTGGGAAGTAGAAAGTTCATAGAGAGGGCGAAGGAGTCTGTCATATTGATGACTGCGTGGTACTGCCCTTTCTGTGTCACTACCAGCTTTCCAGGGCCAACACAAAGTAGATCAAAACCAATTCCCTGACTTTTCAGGGATTGCGGACTGATGAGCAAGTTTTGATGTCGGACAAACTGATCACAATCGCCGCAGGGCCTCAAGGATCTCACAAACTCTTCGAATTTTGGCGGTTTCACTTAGATTGATCAGAATCCAGGCCTTCCAGCCATAGATAGCTAGATTCCAAGACCTGAAGTCCACATCCTCTTTGTGGAAAGCGGTTCCAGACCCTGTCTTCCCCACGTGCCAGTACATGGTGTTAACGCCAGCAACAGGTGCATGGTGCGATAGTTGTTGACCCGGATAAAAGAGGGTGTCTAGATTTGAGAAAAACTGGTCGGTGGCGAGAGAGGGTCCTACATAGTATTGAATTGGAGATTTAGGAGGAGTATTGGTCAGTTTGTCAATGAAAGTCTCTCATTCCGCGAGCGTAGGCTGATTGGCCGTGTGCGGCGACAAGTCTGGCAAACGGAAGCTGCTCGAGGGCCACAATTTTAAGGTCGAGATCCCCGGCGCCTTATAGTCGTCGAATACCAAACCACGGGCATGTCCTGTGGGTATCACGGCGATCTTTGACTTATAAGTGGCCAATTCATGATGTATTTCCGGGAAGCCTATGATAGTGATTACGCCGCCGAAGTTTGGGTCGGTCGCAAGTTCCATAGTGTTCGCAATGAGTTTTTCGCCCCTTTGGATTAGCCATAGCGTAAAAAAAAAAAGAGGGGGGGGGGGG